GACCTTTTTCGGTACAGTTTCATTTTGTACGAAGATATCGCGACGGCCACCTCCCCTTTGTCTGCTGAAGAAGCGATTGATGAGCTCGCAAACGTCCGAGCAACAAAGAATCCTCGAAAATTCAGCCAGACATCGTGAGTTTCTCTCAGGAATTTGAAGGAGAATGAAAGAATAATCCACAAGAATGCTGAATTATGAACAAAACTTGGCGCCATCGCAATATACAGAGGCATTTCGTAAACGCCTGTCCACGTTTCGTTAATGAGTCTATATGTGTAAATGTTTAAACGCGTCTTGTAGGAGTTTGGAGTCCAGGCGAAGGGCACATGTTCATCTAACACTTATTGTAAGGCTAAGCTTTTCAAAGGAAGGAAAGAGAGCAGAGAGCAGGCGCTATCGCACGATACGAGGGCATTGTGGCGGCAATGCATTTCAAACCGCGTGAGACATCTCCTTTCTGTCACGAATTGGACTTTACCTCAGACGAGGAGAAGATGATTCAGATTGCTTGAGCAGTCTGTTTTATTCCACGATATTCCTGTCTCCTACAGGGCTTGTTAGCCCTAGAGAATGCTCACATCTTGCAATATATATCATAAAAGGGAGTGTATATTAAAATCAGAAAAAAATCAGCGTGATGCGTAGTATGAAACCGTTGGTAATGGGTCAGAATATATATGTTCAAATGCGTCGTGAGCTTAAACCAGGTCTTAGCAATTGAGTAACTACGACTTGACACGAATGTACACGTTTGAACAGAATGTCCCCTTATATTGCGATAGCGCCCAAAACTTTCCCTCCCCCCCCCATCGGAACTCGACTTTACAGTTCATCTGTAAGAGGGGTGTGTTGAGTGCCGCCTGGTGCAAAACTTTGTTCATAGCTCAGCATTATCCGCGGACTGCGGAGTTAAAACAGCAGCTAACAAACAAATGAAAGTGCAATATCCGTTGAATGGTCCTTATAAATACCTTCATTTGGACCTGCAGAAACTATTCGCGGGATTCAAGCGGGTACCTACAACACCTCAGAAGGGAATGCGTGCGCGACGAATGCTCTGAACTGTGCCTGCTGCGGGCTCAATCACAGGGCCTATTCCCTGACCCCAGCAAGCACGTCGTGTACTAAGCGTGCGTAAAACCTTGATGTTAATCAGCGACTAATCTTCTGCAAAACGACTAGGATGTGTACGTCTGATTATCGTTAAGACAATGAGCGATAAATGCGAGAAGCGTGGTGCGATGTGCGAGAGCGAACGTGTAGTTGAATATGTGGCGAACCAAGCACTTACCTAAATTCATGTAACCAGGCATAAAAACGTGACATGACCTTGTAATAAGAAATACTTGCAAAAAAATAGAGGAGGAGAAGGCAACTGCATAGAATAAACTACAGTGAACAATAAGCTACGATTGACCGGAATGAAACAAGTTACATAAAGGAGAGAACTCCTCTATTGACTATCTATTATTGAGAATGATTACTACTTTAGAGAGCACATGGGAAACCCTGGCCATTGATTGACTGTTATAAAATAAATGAGTACCATTTATATCCAAAGCTAAAATAGGGTTATTTGGCCTATGTGAAGTCCGTCCCGTGCTAATATTGTTAAAATAGCAAGAACGAACCGACTGCTATGAGGGCCGAAGCGAAGCGAAGTAATGCGAAGGCCACCAGTTAGACGATTGCATCCTGCAGACTGACTACTGGTTTCGCTTGCGATCTGAAGGAAGCAGGCAGCCAGGGGTCTGTGCCTATCACAGTCGACGCTCAGTCTGACTGCGCTGCGCGCGGCATCCTCCCGCGCATGGCTTCAAAGCACCCTTGCTTGAGGTCGTGCGCAAAGCACGACAAAAGCAATGAGGATGTGTAATAGCTGGATTAGTAGGAACTACAGCCAGGCAGGAGTATTTCGGTGCCCTATCAACTTTACTCAAACCTCACAAAACTTTTCTCCATTTCTCCTTCAGCTTGTGGATAACCCTATAGTAGTGGTCCCGTGGTCTACCAGGATATGTACTGAGCTAGCGGTGATTGATCGTTCCAGTAATCAAACAATCATCTTCAAGAACCCCAAAATTTAAATGCTTTTTGTTCCGGGTTTCTGCGCTATTGAAAGCATAGTGAGGGTATCTACAAGAAAGTATATGTCAAAATTTCGGACCAGTCACCTATATCAGCAATAGGCTGGTATGTCCACAGTCACTCAGCTTTTATCCGGCTTCTATTACCTATCGTAGCATTGCCAGGTGTTAAGGCTGTTCTTTTATACTACAACAAAGGACAACATTCTAGAGCAGGGCGTTCATGGGCGATAGGAATCTGGATCGTTGTCTTGTCTTCACATTTTTTACAGAAAAAAAGCGGTGCGAGATATAGAAGTGGCTATAACGCGCTTATTTTAACCTATAAAAATGTTAGGGTACCAAACTCTGCGATCCAGAATGCTATTTTCTAATGACTCAATTCATGAAGTTGTAGAAGTTCATACTCTACAGTGCGCGTCAATTGTATATGCCACCCCCTGATTTTTTCAGTTTTCTGACTTATTTGGAAATTTCGTAAATCGGCATAGCAACCATCGTTTTCGGCGTGTCGGAAAACTAAGAATGGTGTTGTTTGATTTATGTTAACGCGTTGATTTCAATTGCTCTGTTCTTTGAAGAAAATGGGCCGCGTCAATTGCTTATGCCATCCTAAAGTTTCTTCAGAATTTCTCATGTCTCTAACGCTATTCAGCTACGGTGTGCATGTAAGTACAAATGAGGAAATCCTCCACTTATGCAATGCACACAAATGGTGAAGCATTTATAACTGATCAGTTCGGAATATTAGCCCTTATACTGGACGGTAGCAGCATGAAAACGCTTTATCAGAAAACGAGGCAGTGTGCTCACTCTCGCGATCGCTCCTGCTGCTTATTGTAGAACTCATCGAGGAGTGTATCCAGGCAATGACTGGGGAAATTGAAGTGCTCAAGGAGCCTCTTCAAATTCACATTTTCCCGCCTTCGATTCCGTGGTTCAACCATTATTTGGTGTCGTGGTCCCCCCCTCTCCCTGCTAAGCTCGAAGATTCACGCTCACAAAGTCTCTTTTCTGAGAGAACATGACTCGTACCTACTACCCGTCTGGTACCCATCACTGAACTCGATCGAAGTTTTCTTATCAAGGCGATGCAATGATGGCCCATGCCACCACTTCGGTGTCCCGTTCAAGTTACAACTGGCCCATGTCATCATTTTCGCTCGCTCGGTACGAAAATTTTTCCAGAGAGAATCCGACAAAGTTCGGCGATGGGTACTACGCGGATTGTGAGTGCAACTCATATTCTCTCTGAACAGAGACTTTGTGAGCGTGAACGCTTCGAGCTTCGCAGGGAGCCAAGACCACAAATAAAGTTGACCACGGATTCAAAGCGGGAAAATGTGAATTTAAGAGCTCCTTGAGCACTTCAATTTCCCCAGTTTTGCCTGGATACACTCCTCGATGAGTTCTACAATAAGCAGCAGGAGCGATCGCAAGTGTGAGCACACAGCTCTTTCTCTGATAAAGCGTTTTCATGCTGCTACGTCCAGTATTAGGCTGAGTATCCTCGAATAATTAGTTTTATAGATGCCCACCATTTGGTTTGACATTGTATATAATGGAAGGATTTTTCTCAGTAGTTGCGAACACAGAGACATGAGAAATTCTGAAGAAACTTTAGGATGGCATAAGCAATTGACGCGGCCCATTTTCTTCAAAAGAACAGAGCAATTCAAATCCACGCGTTAACCAAAATCAAACAACACCATTCTAGTTTTCCGACACGCCGAAAACGATGGTTGCTATGCCGATTTACGAAATTTCCAAATAAGTCAGAAAACTGAAAAAATCAGGGGGTGGCATATACAATTGACGCGCACTGTAGTTTGAATGTAGCCATATTTGAAAAGCCCTTTGAAGAACTTTTTATCGCGTTGAACGTACTTCCTCCTTCTCTGCAGCAGTCGCCAACTATTTTCAACAGGCGACCCGTTGTCATATAGCCACTTTATAAGGTGCTACTCACTTCAGAGTGATATCAAAGTGACTTGCTCCCTTCTCATGGAGGATTCATTACCCGGAGGGGTAGCGGAGGTCTGCCCCCATGCTTCCGTGCAAATTGCGAATGAGCCATCGCCAGACTACCATGAGCTCTTGGCCACGTTCTAACTAGCAGTTTGGACCCGATTGACCCTGATGCGATTAGTCACGAACTTACTTAATAGTTCGCGTTTTTAGAGCAGATACTTAGATGTCAAGTCCATTCAAAATTGGGCGATTTTAATTTTTTTTCGTCGGTGTGGATACTGTAACTTCTTATCATAGAATGTGCACCACAAACAAAAAGCGCGGTATTAACAGTGTGTCCCTCACAATAGCAACATGGGCGTGGAACTGTTTGGTTGATGGCTACAACGTTTTTCCAGGCTTGTGTCATGAATATTTTCCCATATTTGCAATGTTGGTATAATATGCTTAGATATGACACGGGTGAATGAAAAAAATATGCATAGAAGCATGAAAGGCCGCTAGATAAATTAAGCTGTCCTGTCGAGGAGTAGTAACACTTTGAATCCTCCACTTCCCCACGTTTACGACTTCTTCTTGATTTCGTGAAGTCTAACCATAAATCCTCATTTTAGGTATTGTAGGAGAAGATTTACGCTGAACTTCGATCTGGCAAAAGGGGAAAGGTTGGGAAAAGAGCATCGAAAGATGTTTGTCTGCCAATTTATTTCAATCCATTCAACTAGACCTTTATCAATTGTCTTCATGTGTATATCTTTTTAGTTGTTTGTGTGCTGCTTCCTTTCCTATATTTCATTCAATTTGAGAAAATTATTCAGGGCATTCAAGAAGTTCAAGCAGCTGACGCAGGGAAGAAACGATGATCTTCTCGTGTTCTACATCCCCTGCAACGTCACATTGTTAGTTTATGGTCACTACTATACTACTACACTTCTACATTACATATTGTTGTATTATGCGGCTAAGTATGTCTGTGTGTGTGTGCAAGGAATCTAATCAAAACTCAAGTTTAAGTTTGGGACCTGTAATACGGAAGCCAAGATGTGTGAAACATTGCTACTTCTGCTGTTTGAAGCCACGCTTTCAGAGAGCAGTGAGCTTAGGAAAGGGTCAAAGTTCGCTGCCTCATCAATCGATTACTAGACTGCCCAAAGTTCGGGAAGAAGTTGGCAAGTGCTTACGGGGATGGTTAGATGTTAATGGTGGACGAAGTCCAATGTGAGAGCTTTGGTTGCACCGTCCCATATTGCCAACTAATCGTTATACTGTTGTTGTTTACTACTTTACTTTTAATTTTCCTTCATTATTGTGTGTGCCACTAGATTCGTCATCACTTGAAGATTAAACTAGGCGTGTCCACTATGGGCGGGGAGTGCATTGAAATAGGCTTCTGAAAGCGAAAAAATATTTTGGTCGAAGAACAGCCCAAGTA